GACCAGTGGATAAATGCCTCCACCCCACGCAATGTCAGTCAAGGGATTAAAAGACAATAATTTGTTACTGCTCCCTGTCGTGGTAGGTAGGGCAGCGAGCCCGGACGCCCAAGATCAGTCCGTAATTTTGCGTCGAGTTTGTGACACGTTAACTGCCGTTTCCCCCCCCCCCCCTCTTTTTGAAATCTACTTTTGTAATTCTGGGTTCTTGAATGACAAAAACAAATTTTATATATATTAAATAAAAATGTATGATAAAAAACCAAACGAGCAATCGGCTTCCATGTCAATACCACTACAACAGCACAGACTTCACCATGCTCATCAGGGCAGGTGGACAGGACCGGTTCAGGTATCACTGGCCGATGACGCGAACTGTGCTCAGAATTCTGGGGCGCCGGGTTCATAGCACAGGGCAACGAACCGCTGTGCCGCACCGCTCAACCCTCCATCCATTAAAACTTATTAACGGCACTTAATGCGATGCTTGGCATTCAGGTTCTATTTAATTACAGCGAATCCACACGTGTGCGTGCACGTAGCTCGGTTATAATTAGTAGCCGGCTCGGCTGACGGGAGAGGTGTGTTACTTCTCTGACTACGAGTTGGGGGATTGCTCAGCGATTCCCACTGGCCTGGGAATTAAAAAAAAAACGGAGCGCGCGCCGTAAAACGCCGATTTTATGACGATACCATCACATGCCGATGCGCCCCGCTTGAGTAACGAGTCTGCGTTTAATACCAGACTCGCCCCCGGCCACGCCAAAAGTGACGGCACTGCAACGGCGACAGCGTACAGGCAAGAGTGACGGGTTTAACTTGAAACTACACTAACATATTTTTTTTTATTTTACCAGGTAAGGTATGGCCCGCTGAGCTACGTAGCTCTTTTTTTCAGAAGCGACGTGGCCACAAATGATAGCTCAACGAAGTGGCTTATCACGTGGAAATTTATAGCAGCCAAATATTGTAAACGCGTGATGTCGATTTTAAATGTGGAGGAAAAAACCGGAGGACCCGGAGAAAAATCCACGCGACCACGGGGAAAAGAGAGACATGCAAACTCCAAATATGCAAGCGTCAGTGTCGGGATCGAACCCAGGACCTCATGTACCAGGCGAGGTAGTTGACATCTCGCCACCGTGGTGCCCTTACACACACCGCAGCAATCATCACCCCCCCACTGGAAGACTAATGCCTCAGGTCACCCTTGCAAACAAAACTCTCCTTGCCACCGATGTTACCCGTGGCCGGAATTAAAAACTTAGGTCGCTGGGTTCAAAGCGCAGCATGCTAACTGCCGTGCCACCGCTCCAATCCTGCGGCGTACGTGTGGGGTGCGCTTTGGCTAAAATCATACGCGTCAGCCACAAACTATAAACGATACACCGCCCGACGAAGGCCTCCTCCTTCGCCATTCCTCGTAGTCTCGCTGTGCCACAATCCATTTTCAGGTCTACGTATGGACCGATCTTGTTGCTCCGTTTCTCCCTTGGATGCCATTCCATGCCACCGTCGCCACATCGGCCACTCAAGCGAACTGTCGCGCGCACAAGTCCCGCTTCAGAATCAGAACAATGTACTGCAGGAGGAATCCGATGAGCTCTTTTTCACAGATGTCCAGTCGAGGTGGGTAAGAACGTTGCAACAACAAACAATACAATAACACCATAGGAGTGCAAAGTACAAGAAATGTAAACACCACACAACACACATACAACACTAAACCATCCCCATCCAACCAGACAAGGCTCACTGAGGCATTAACTTATTTTTCAAAAGTGACCTGGCCACAAATGATAGCTCAACAAAATGGCTTATCATTTGGACGTTTATAGCAGCCAAACAATCTAAAATAACAATTAAAATAACCCTGTAACAATATGGCGCCCCTAATCAGCGTTTGCTCCCCGATTCCCTCTTGTTCTTCGCTCAATCTCTCGGTGTAAAAATTCCTAAGCGCGCACCTCTCCACGCGTCTTTTTGCTGTGCGCTTTCCAGCCCTCGTTCCATTTTTATTTGTCCGTGTCCATGCTTCTGATGCGTGTGTCGCGGACGAAGGGGGCGAAGTTCTATGACGTCACTCTGCCCCTTCGCAGGATGATGAAAAAAGCTCTTTGACCAGATGTTTAACCTGCGGACGTCACCAAAGAAGCAGGACCAGCTCCTGGAACAAAACTATCGGGCGTGATTATGAAATGTTTTCAGAGGCAATATTACTGTAAATTTCCGCCTTCATGCAGTAGTGGAATGACCGTGGCTCACGACGATTATAATGATTATGATGATTATAACGATGACTTGCTACATACCAACCCGTGAAATTATACTTGGGCATCGTACGCACGTGGCCGCGTGCAAAATTAGAAAGTGACTCCGTGAACGCTGTCGCTTTCTGAAAGCAAAGCACACCCAGAGTTGCACCCCGAAGGTGGTTGTACGTGGCGAGGGCGTGAGGGCGTGCACGCTCACCCGAAGCGCCGGGGGGGGGGGGGGGGGCGGGCAGGCGGAGGGAGATCTCTGTTGTGGGCAAGTGTAGAAATCTTGGGTGTGAAAGGGTCGAGCGATGACGATGACGATGCGGCGGCGGCGGCAACAGACAAGAGTGGTGCCAGAAGTTTTAATTGCCTGAGCTCATGGAGCTGTGGCAATGTGGAAAACACAACGCCTAAGGAATGCGGAGTGAGAGTCGCCGTCGCCAGCAAATGGGCATTGTTGTTCGTCGTTATTTTTCTCTCTCTCTCTCTCTACCCGCCACGTTTGCCACGCGAGCGAAGCGATGCCAGCGTAGGACGTCTCGCGTTTGTGCGTCGGCGACGCGCGCTAAAATCGCCGGCGTGCGCGTCTTCTCCATCTCCTCCGTGCGACATCCACGGCACCCCACCGTGTTACTCCCAAGTGTGCAGGCAACGAGCACTCGCGTCAATCCACTGCTGGATGACGGTATCCCCGTCATCCAGGTTGTTTGACGGCGCTATACCACGCTGGTTGGCGGGGGCTGACGAGGGGGCGGGGAGCTTAGATATGGCGGCGGCGGTGGCACAGAGGTACAGTACAGCGATGGACTTTGCTGCATTGAACTCCGCTCCCCACGACGCGTCGCAGGCGCAGCCGCCGGTGTGACAACCGTCTGTCCAGACTCAACGACGGCCAGGGGCTTAAGCCTGCGTAGGCTACCGAAATCGGGACATTCCCCGGTGACTTCGGTGAGAGGCGCCGCCAAAAGAGCGCGATCGCAGAATATCGGCGGGCAGGCCAGCGGACAACAGTGGGCGGGGGGGGGGCTGCAGTTTGTGTTTCCAGGTCCAAAGTTCAGGCCCCACGTTTCAATTTGCCCCCGAAACTCTTCAAGCAGCAGCTGCAACAGTGGCACCATCATCGATTGCAAGTGAGGTAGTTAACATCTCTTGTGGCGAGATGTTAACTACCTCACCTGGTATGCAGGAGGTCGTGGGATTGATCCCGACCCTGACACCTGCTGTATATTTGGAGTTTGCATCTCTCTCTCTCTCTCGCCGTGGTAGCATGGATTTTTCTCCAGGTCGTCTGGTATTTTCCTTCCAAGTTTAGAATCGACATGCGTTTCGAGTATTTGGCTGCGTTTCGAGTATTTGGTTCGGGCTGTCTTCGTTGAGAGCCGTCAGCGATGTATGCTGCTATAAATTCCCACGTGATGATAGGCCACTTCGTTGAGCTATAATTTGTGGCCAGGTCGCTTCTGAAAAAGAGCTACACAGCTCAATAGTTTATAATTTGAGATGATGACTCGGCGAGGAGGGGAATCCAGACCAATATTATTTTTTTGGTCAGCTGTTCTCAAGTGGTGGTGCTGGTATTGGGATCCTAAGCAAAAAAAAACGTTACCCCCCCCCGCCTATGCACTTACTAAAATCCGAGTGAGATGAGAGTAGAAATAAGCATGCGAGATAGAGACGCAGCGAGATGACAGAAGAGAGATGCAGACACGCTCGGAATGAGTGATAGTACGAATTGTATTTGTGGCGTTAATTGGCCTTGTTATGCTTACAAGGATTTGTATTATTTGAGCTGGTGTCTGGTTTTCATGAATCCGCGGCTCGTGAGCTGCTTGGGGCTGCCTCTAAGCTTTCGCTCCGTATGGTTTCATGTGCTCTTGCCGCCACTGAAAAACTAATTTGTGTTGCGTTTTAGTTTGTCGTCCTTCCCCGGCACCTCCGATTGGCACGGTTGGCTACATACGGCGCGAAAGAAGTTCAACACACGTACATCCTGGACATCCTAATAAGCTCAACGGATTCCGCCAGGATAAGCAAATATTCTCATTCCGACGGACTGGCTGTGCCACGATTGTGGCGACAGGCCGCGGCGCTGTCTTCTGCGTGTGCAGGGTCACGGACATCGGCGTCACGTGACACGCACCACTTCGGCACGCGCGCCACCGAACCCCCCCCCTCGCCCCCCTCCAACCCCCCCACCCCACACCCCCATCTACGTGTAACCACAAAGCTGCCCAGCAAACAGCCGTCGCGCGCTGTCGAGGACTGCCCCTGATGGCGGCGGCCAGAAAGGAGAGCACGACAAGGGCTGATTGGACGCAATGACGTGGCATATGGAGCGGCCGAGCGATTTGGATATCGACCTGCAAAGCGAACGCAAGAAGAGGGCACTTGACAGTGGCGGGGGCGGTGTGTTAGGAGCAGAGGAATCGGGTTACCACCTCCGAGGTATAATAAAACCGGCACAGATCACAGCAACAGGAAGGATATCTCACGATACGTGAAGAGGGGAGAACTACGCGTGAATGCATCGTCTCGAGTGGCGTGTGACAATATTATCGTTGCCCGACTGCACAAATATAAGAGACTTTTAATGCCCCGCGAAGACTTGGAGATTTCCCCCGGGAGAGCCACCTGAAAGAGAGGACGATCCTGGGAAAAACAGAACAGGTGGCAACCCCGGTTGGCAAAAAGGATGTAGATGGAGCGGTGGGTGGGGGGGGGGGGGCTATGGGCAGCACGTACGTGTGACACGCGTAGAAGTATTTGTCGTCCGTGATGCCGTCCTGCAGCGGGACGTTGAGGGCAAAATATCTCCCCTTGCCCATGCCCACCTCGTCGATTCCTCCCGTACCTGCGGGCACAGACAGAGACCAAACACAAAGATACTCCCGTATGGCCATTAACAGCCTGCTGTTAGCGAGCGCCTATTAAGGACGGCACGGCACAAAGAGGGGGCGGGTGGCCTGCACTCTGCCCAGCAGCCTTCGTCTCCCCAGTGCTGATGTTCACTACACACCGCACTGGGAACTAATTTGAAGGCCGAGTCGACCTAGGGGGAGACCCGGGACTGATTCAGATATTCGTGGTGTTTGCGTGCATCTATTCGGCACGTGGCAACGCGTCGATGAAAATCGATCCTGACGACGGCGGTCACAATACCCCGCACTGAACAGTGCGTGCAAGAATTGATTTTACTTTCGATCTGTATACGTTGTCATTGTTTCTCGAATGCCCTGCAGACACTGTAGATTCTGCATGCACTGCTGCACTGGATCAAGGCCTTCCCCTGCCATGCTACTGGTGGAGGTTTGTTTGTTTCCCCGCACCTCCGATTTAGTACGGTGGTTGGCTGTGCACGGCGCGAAAGAAGTCCGACATACGTACATACACTGACCATACTTCACCCTGCTGGTCAGTGCGGGTTAGTGAAGGAGTGGGTGTTGGGGGAGGTGGGGTGGTTGGGCAGGACCGGTTCAGCTATCACTTGCTGATAAAGGCTGAGTATCGAGCTTATGTTGTACGGGTTTACAGCTCAGTTCGCTAACCACTGCACAGCGTACATGCTTTTAAAATGTTATATATATGAATAATGAGGTTTGCGTAATATCCAAAGAGAATTCAGCTTGAGCAAAACAATCCTTCTGAATTTATTTCCTAAACTGGTTTTACAGGTGAACAAGAGTTGACCTGTAAAACCAACGCGACCACTCCGTAACCAATCAGCGTATATGAACAGGAATAAAATAACAATCATCTTGAGCCATGATTAATCCACTGTTGGATGAAGGCACCATCCCCCCCCACCCCCGCCCCCCCCCCAAAGCTGTTGCCATTTCTCACGATCCCCCGAATTAACAATGCACCTACACACCAGCTGACGACATCGCTCACAAAGGTTACCCACAATCCTCCACGACGCCACAGTACACGTGGTGCTGGAACTGATCCGAGCAGGCTTCCGTGGGTGCTTGTGTACGGCTATGACCGACAACAAAAGGCAACCGAGGCACCATTTATTCCTCACGGACACACCACTTGATGAGACTTCAAAACGTTGAAACGTGTCCACGGTTTGCCGGATTAAACCGCGGCCGTTGCTCCGCGCATCCCGTGGGCCCGGGGGACGTTATTTGACTTTTAACGTGAACAAAAATGTACTACATATTTATTATTTTAATTCCCGCAATCAACCATGACGCAGCATGGTTGTATTTATGTAAATGTTCTATTGTTTTTTGCGAAGCTTATCAGCGCTGTTTTGTTGTTGTTATTATTGTTGCCATGGTGCCCATGCGGGAACTTTACTCAAACCATGGGGTTGGTCACCCAGCAGCATTGGTTTGAGAGTCCAAGCAGAATCATATTATTTATACTGGAGGAATCCCATGAGTTATAAAGCTCTTTTTCATTGATGTCCAGTCGGGGCAGTTCAGAATGTTACAACAACCACAATACAAAAACATAACAGAAGTGCAAAGTATAGGACCGAAAGAACCACAGTATGGATTCCTGCAGTCACGAAAGCTTCAAATCAAGATAGTATAGGAAAGGTAAACAAATAACTTAAAGTATGCAAATAAACCTAAACTATTTGTTATCTTAACAGTTACAGTGAGGGAAAAAAGTATTTGATCCCCTGCTGATTTTGTACGTTTGCCCACTGACAAATAAATGATGAGATTAATTTCAATGGTAGGTTTATTTGAACAGTGAGATACAGAATAACAACAAAAACATCCAGAAAAACGCATGTCAAAAATGATATAAAAAGATTTGCATTTTAATTAGGGAAATAAGTATTTGACCCCCTCTCAATCAGAAAGATTTCTGGCTCCCAGGTGTCTTTATACATGTAACGAGCTGAGATTAGGAGCACACTCTTAAAGGGAGTGCTCCTAATCTCAGCTTGTTACCTGTATAAAAGACACCTGTCCAAAGAAGCAATCAATCAATCAGATTCCAAAATCTCCACCATGACCAAAACCAAAGAGCTCTCCAAGGATGTCAGGGACAAGATTGTAGACCTACACAAGGCTGGAATGGGCTACAAGACCATTGCCAAGCAGCTTGGTGAGAAGGTGACAACAGTTGGTGCGATTATTCGCAAATGGAAGAAACACAAAAGAACTGTCAATCTCCCTCGGCCTGGTGCTCCATGCAAGATCTCACCTCGTGGAGTTGCAATGATCATGAGAACGGTGAGGAATCAGCCCAGAACTACACGGGAAGATCTTGTCAGTGATCTCAAGGCAGCTGGGACCATAGTCACCAAGAAAACAATTGGTAACACACTACGCCGTGAAGGACTGAAATCTTGCAGCTCCCGCAAAGTCCCCCTGCTCAAGAAAGCACATATACATGCCCGTCTGAAGTTTGCCAATGAACATCTGAATGATTCAGAGGACAACTGGGTGAAAGTGTTGTGGTCGGATGATACCAAGCTCTTTGGAATCAACTCAACTCGCCGTGTTTGGAGGAGGAGGAATGCTGCCTATGACCCCAAGAACACCATCCCCACCGTCATACATGGAGGTGGAAACATTATGCTTTGGGGGTGTTTTTCTGCTAAGGGGACAGGGCAACTTCACCGCATCAAAGGGACGATGGACGGGGTCATGTACCGTCAAATCTTGGGTGAGAACCTCTTTCCCTCAGCCAGGGCATTGAAAATGGGTCGTGGATGGGTATTCCAGCATGACAATGACCCAAAACACACGGCCAAGGCAACAAAGGAGTGGCTCAAGAAGAAGCACATTAAGGTCCTGGAGTGGCCTAGCCAGTCTCCAGACCTTAATCCCATAAAACATCTGTGGAGGGAGCTGAAGGTTCGAGTTGCCGAACGTCAGCCTCGAAACCTTAATGACTTGGAGAAGATCTGCAAAGAGGAGTGGGACAAAATCCCTCCTGAGATGTGTGCAAACCTGGTGGCCAACTACAAGAAACGTCTGACCTCTGTGATTGCCAACAAGGGTTTTGCCACCAAGTACTAAGTCATGTTTTACAGAGGGGTCAAATACTTATTTCCTTCATTAAAATGCAAATCAATTTATAAAATTGTTGACATGCATTTTTCTGGATTTTGTTGTTATTCTGTCTCTCACTGTTCAAAAAAACCTACCATAAAAATTATAGACTGATCATTTCTTTGTCAGTGAGCAAACGTACAAAATCAGCAGGGATCAAATACTTTTTTCCCCTCACTGTAAAGCCCACTGAGATATTTGCTTCTCTTTCAGAAGCGACCTAGCCACAAATAATAGCTCAACGAAGTCGGCCCATCATGCATCACGTGGGAATTTATAGCAGCAAACATCGCTGACGACTCCCAACGAAAACGAAGTCAGCCCGAGCCTGCCTTGTTTGAACAAAACGTTACCGGGAAATGTTAATCGGTGAGGCTCATGGCCCGATGGATAAAATGTTATTTCCTTTCAAAGACTGAACAAACATCCTGACGGGACCTTATTTATCGCATTACTCCGCCGGCTGGCTGTGTCGAAACAGCAGAAGCTTTGTTTTCCACCCGTGTGTGTTTACGTATGCTAATTGATTCCCGCTTCATGTTGTAGCCCAGTTCACGCAACGGGCGGTCAATATTGAAAGAGGGCATTCGAGAGATTGGGCCGCTGTGCTCGCGACGGTCAGTCGGCAGAGTGGACTCGCAGCAAATCCCGAGTTCGAGTGGGCTTCTTTCCCGAAAGCCTGCAGATTTAAAAAAAATAACTCGAGCTGAATCTTATTCCTGCGTGCGCTGGCGGAAATAACGTTTAGGGGCTGAATGCCAATGTCGAGGTTGTGCTGGCCGTGACATATTGGCGAATGACTCATGCGTTCTGAATAACAAAAAAAAGTTTGAAGATAAATGCGATATATTGATATGGCAATACGCGTGTTTATTTTTAATCGGGGCTGTTTCGTTTGAATTAAATAATCGCCGCTTCAATTTGTGCTCCCTGTGTGTGTGTGTGTGCAATGCACAGCGGCAAGCTTCGCGTGCATTTCACGAGCAAAATAATTACTGCTTCAACGTGTACAATGAAATGTACAGAATTACGAGTGTTTATTTTTGCGAGGAGTATGTTACAATAAGTAATTACTGCTCCAATTTGCAGTGCGTTGGGTACTGCACGGTTTGGACATGGAGGCCTCTATTGATCACACGGTAGATTTTTATTCTTGGTTACATGGTAGATTAGTATTATTGATTACACGGTAGATTAGTATTATTGATTACACGTTAGATTAGTATTATTGATTACATGGTAGATTAGTATTTTTGAATACATGGTAGATTAGTATTATTGATTACACGGTAGATTAGTATTATTGATTACATGGTAGATTAGTATTATTGATTACACGGTAGATTAGTATTATTGATTACATGGTAGATTAGTATTATTGATTACACGGTAGATTAGTATTATTGGTTACACGTTAGATTAGTATTATTGGTTACACGTTAGATTAGTATTATTGATTACATGGTAGATAAGTATTATTGATTACATGGTAGATTATTATTATTGGTTACACGGTAGATTAGTATTATTGGTTACACGGTAGATTAGTATTATCGATTACACGGTAGATTAGTATTATTGGTTACACGTTAGATTAGTATTATTGATTACATGGTAGATAAGTATTATTGATTACATGGTAGATTATTATTATTGGTTACACGGTAGATTAGTATTATTGATTACACGGTAGATTACTATTATTGATTACACGGTAGATTAGTATTATTGGTTACACGTTAGATTAGTATTATTGATTACATGGTAGATAAGTATTATTGATTACATGGTAGATTATTATTGGTTACACGGTAGATTAGTCACGGTT